ATTAAACTTAAAATACAGTCAAGCCTCTGTTTGTCAGTAAGAATAGGATGATTTAATTAGGAAATTTAATTTTAATCATGATAAATATTCAGTTGTTTAATATGCATTTTGTCACGGAATATATTTTATGCTATGATCTGACTATTGATATGAATTTTAAAACAAGACATTTTCCATAAGCGTAAAGAATTTAGTGGTTATTGACTGTATTTTGTTGTAAAAATTTATTTTAATCAAAACCATAGACGAGAAAAAATCAAATCAAACTGTTATTTATGAGAATCAGGAAAACAAATCAAAATTTATTCAATGCAAGAGAGAGAGAGAGAGAGAGAGAGAGAGAGAGAAACACTTATAATAATCTGCGATATTTTATGTGCCATTAATATCACATAAAATTTTAATGGATTCACAAAAAAATCATAAGTAATTATAATCATTGGCTTTCATAGAGAAATCAGTCGCCAATCAATTGGACGGCTATATGAAAGGTATTTCTTGAATTTAATTAACGCAAAACTTCAATATTTTAACCGATATTATAGTTATAAATGTGATAAATAACTCAAAATGAAAACAAAACACATAAAATTCACCAAATGGTAATTGATATTCATAATCTATACGTGAACATTTAAGGACAAAATTAATCTAAAAAGCTATTAAAATTGCCGTCAAAATCAACCTGGGCAACTATTTATCTAAATGTCCGACTGAGGGCAGTGTTTGGCTCGTGTGAAGGCTAACTATTGAAGTTAATTTTCTTAACTTGTTTATTATGCACACCATCTGAATGTCAACCACTCTCCTCACTATCTCATAGACTTAAGATGTGACCAAAATATGCATAAGTCTACTAACCTTCCCGTCCTATACCTAACCTCTTATGTCTCGTTTGTTTGCATATAAATTATGTTTCCTATGAATTAGGGGGCAATCTATTGTGATATAAGTGTTTAAAAACTGATTTTCTGATAACAATGGGATTTTGTAAGAGATAGAGAAACGTCTCAAACAATTATCGCCCAAACAGTCATTTCGTTTGTGTTTTTATTTTGATTGAGATTTTTAGACCCAATTTTTTCGCTTCAGTCTTATCTCCTATCCATTCTCTAACACCTCTCTCTCTCTCTCTCTCTCTCTCTCTCTCTCTCTCTCTCTCTCTCNTTTTAAGACATGTCTTTAATTTAGTGTTTATTTCTCTAGAAATCTAATTATCGATAATTTTATTTATAATATGAGAAAAATTACATCCATTCCTATTTGTCTCTCTCTCTCTCTCTCTCTCTCTCTCTCGATTTGTGTGTTAAGTGAATACGCGGTTGTCTTACGACAGGGAAGGCATTGGAGAGATAGAGTACAGACAGACAGTTGAGGCAAATAAATAAAAACAATAAATAAAACACTTCTGTCTAATACTTCTGTTACCAATGCACTATAAATAGCTCTCTCAGTCTCTTTCTCTCTCTCTCTCTCTCTCTCTCTCCATCACTAATTCAATAACAGTCTGTCCTCTCATACCATTGTCCGTATAAATACCTTAAGGATTAGGAGTAAGAGAGAGAGAGAGAGAGAGAGAATTTAATTTATCATCGACTCAATGGACAGAGAGAGAGAGAGAGAGAGAGAGAGAGAGAGAGAGAAGCGACTAAAAGATAATATAATAGCTTCACTTCCAGCTGAGATGTGACCAGAATTTTCGTTCAATACTTCCACCACTTCTTCGGTTATATAAGAGAAAAATGCTTGAATTGAGTGCCACTTCTTCTGGCACTCAAAAAACACACCAAACAATGCAATACAAGAGAGAAAATACGGACATTCAATACAATGGGAAGCGAGAAAAAATATAATACAAATAATAACAATAATAGCAACTCTTTTTCTGGTTTAATAATTTCATTCGTGAGTCGGGTTTTAAACGATTGTCAATATAAGGGGAGAGAGAGAGAGAGAGAGAGAGAGAGATGTGCTCAGGTATGCGATGGTATGGCTTGTGGTTAAATGGATAGACCTAGTATGGGTAGCAATAAAAAAATGCATTATAACCAGTCATTTTTCCCATTGAAATTTACACTCAGGATCCTCAGTGTAAATTCTACCCTTAGTAGGGATAGACAGTATACCCACTGTATTTATAGAGATGTGCACTTATTTTTTTAAGTTTTTATTTTTGCTGATCTTTTAAGTAGTTATACAACTCTAATGGTGTTAGCGATCGGTTAATATGTATAGCAATAAATTAAAGTCCCGTTTAATAGTTAATAACATTCATTTGTCCCGCAAATCACAGCTCATCCGTACGGGTCATCCCCACAGACATCAGAAAATTACTGCCTTTTTGGGATCAAAACACATCGATCCCAATCTGTCTCTCTCTCTCTCTCTCTCTCTCTCTCTCGCCTATACGTACAGTACGCTCAGTGAAGGGCCAGTGATCCCAAAGCCCACACCATTTAAGTGGTCTATACTTTTGAGACTTACTCTCACTTGGCTTTATCTCTCTCTCTCTCTCTCTCTCGCTGTCCATTGAGTCGATGATAAATTAAAAGTTTATTTTATTTTTATTATACATTATTCTTTTGAATGTATTTTTAACACTAAAACTCTTGTATTGATAGTCAAAGTTTCCGTTTTTATTACTCCATTGAACTCAATATAGCGTTAAATGTTATGTAAAACAAATAAATTATAAAATTCTTATACTATAATCGCGTAATATATTTAAATATAAAACTTTTTTTTAGTTAACAATAAAAACATTAATAAATTTGTCTTAAAGTCTGTAAATACAGTTTAAAAAACTACTTTTCGTAATAATTTACAAATTTATTTATATTTTGCAATTTATTCATTCAGTCCGTCGAGACTTACACTAAATTTATAACGATATTAAACACAACAATAAATAATAGCAAAAATCAAAACATATTTTGGGACCAAAAAATTCATGTCATGTCTAAGACATGAGGAATAAAAAAGAAAGATTTTCAATATATTTAGGATTTATTTCATCAGCGATGGACAGTTAGGTTTGCGATCATTTCAACCATAATGGTATACATCGGATAGGCGTTTGATTATCGACAAAAACATACGTCCAATACGTACTATACATGATAGACAACCACAACATAACAGCTCAACATTTAAAAAAACATCTCATTTTGTGGCTTAAAAATTCATTTCGCAAAATTTAAAACACATTTCCTATTTTACGAAAAACACTGTTTCATAATCTCTTGTAGTAATAGTTATCACTCGTGTATTACTCGCATATTTAACACATACCTCAATATTCCCAGTGATTAAAATTCATAACTAATATTATAAGCTATTTATAGTTATATAATAAATGCAATTTTCTCACAGCCGACGTGTTTTTGTTCGCACCGGTGTTTACGGCACTCACACCCAAAATGAAACACATTTATGAAATATCAAGATCACTACCAGTAGTGCCAATCATATCAATCCCAATCTCACCCGATATAGTCATCCGCATAAATACCTCAACAGTTATTAACACAGTTTTAAGCAGGTATTTAAGTATTAAATATAAGGCATCCCTTGTATCCATATGTAGGCTATATACCAGTGCCGGTGCTCTCCGTTTAACTTAATGAATTGGTCGGTCATATCTGGTCTGTCCGTAATTAATATGCAATTCTCTCATCTATTAATACATACAAATCACATACTGTTCTCACAGTGTATTTATTTGGGAGTCACTGTATTTTAGTGAGCTTTTGGGCTGAGACTTATGCGTTGCCCACACTATCTGATAACTGCACATCTCTCTCTCTCTCTCTCTCTCTCTCTCTCTCTCTCTCTG